ACTCTGGGTCACCTACATTCAGTAGAGAAAAAAAAAAAATGGTTTCAGTGGGTTAATTACTGAACCTACTGAACTGTTATCAGCCTTCACTTTTGTTCTAATAACGAAGCTGTTAAACAAAGCTTCTCTTTAACTGAGTGATGGATCTTTTATAAGACTTTGCAAATGACTTGGATTAAGAAAGCTGCCTTTTGTCTCTCTTTGTAATACACAAAGAATACCAGACAAAAAAATAAAACAAGCTATGAGTCAGAATGAAGCTGTGAATGAATTGAAGCTGTGAGACATTATTGGTGCGAGACTCTTTCTCATGAACAAAACACTGCTGTTTTTAGACCGCCTGGCATCATGAAAACTGCAACTACTATCTTGTGACTGATTATTATTCATTTTAAATGGGAAATCACGAGTGTTATCAAGTACAGATGTGTGACACCTCGTACAATAGAATAACTAAATGTATTAAATGAACTATTTGTGAACCAGCTTTAAACTGTATTTTCATGTATGGCTAAATTATAACTTAAAGTAAACTTATTCTGAGAAAAAAGGCCCAATTTTGCCCTATACATCTACTTAGAATTTCAATTGACATATATTTGGCTTATAGTTTTGTTTACTTTTTTAATTTAGTAGCTGTTTTAATAGTAAATAAAAAAGAAACGAAATGGAACGGGGAACGAAAACTGTTTTTTTTTTTTTTTTTTTTTTTTAGGAAATGTTTATAGCATAGTCGTAGTACACATGAATAATGTTGCACTTAAAGTTAGCTACTTTTCCTGAAAATACTTTTATAGTATATTTTAGATAATAATAATTCCTTAAATTTATATAGTGCTTTTCTGGACACTCAAAATGCTTCACACAGCTTTGAAGCTCAATATCTCAGAATCATTCAGAATGCAGATAGAAACTTATAATTCCAAGGTGATGAAATACCTGATGTGTGCTTTCATGGCTTCCAAAAAAAAGCAATCACACACACAAATGGCTACAGCAGGAGCAACCAACCTTAAATAATTGAATAGATGCAACTATCGAGACACAATGTAAAAATTCACTTCTAATTTAAAGAAGGATTTAGAATGTAGGACATGTGTTGACTATATTTCAGTTAGAAGCCTGATTTTGTTGCTATAAACAAATAGAATAGCTTAACTGGTAGATAACTATATGCTAATGTTGTTTGATACGTATTAGGGCTTGGTTATTAATTTTTTTTATCAATTGTTTTCCCTGCTGTGTGTGGAGTCATGTGACCCTGCTCTGCTATGGATGATTTATACTTCTGCATTGAGCTCGCGTATGATGCAGGCTTTGTGCGGTTGCATACCTGTGCATCTTAAAAAAAAAAACTGCATGTTTGCACTACATTGACAATGATTGGAAGCTGTGTCAGAAATACCCTGAGATGGCATATTTTCCATTACAATAAAATTATTATTTACAATAAAATTGTTTGCAAAGCATTCAAGAAATACACTGTTTAAAATATTATTTACAGGATATGCATGAGTTGCATTATTTAGAAGAGATACTGCTGATTTTCCATTTTTAATAAAAAAAAAAACATTAAACATTTTTTTAATTATAATAAAATAAATAATAATAATAATAATAAATGAATAATAATAAATAAATAATTTTGTTTCCAAAAGTGCAAGTTCGTTATTTTCATTATATTTTTATAGGAAAAAAGTGAGTTTCTTGTAGGAAATGTGTTTTAATTTCAGTTGTTCAGCATTAATGTTCACCCTTCATTCAAAAATCACTGACTTGTAATATGAAAATTAAAGTAAATATTTACTGTATAGTATTGCGTGTTATGTATAATAAAGATGGTCATTTGAGATTATTCTGCAAGTAATTATATTATGGCATGCATTCTCACCCTGGATGTAAAGTCTTTTCATTTTTATTATTTTTTTTAGTTTAATTCTTTTTAGTTTAATGCTACTTTTCTTTTTATAATTTAACAAAATTTGAGTACCATGTATAATTAGTACATCTGACAATAGAGTATGTAAATTATATGTCACTTAAGGTCATAACTAAGATTCAAATGTGTCTTGAAATATTGTATGATTGTGCTCATTTGAGTGTTCGCAGTAAACATGCATTTAAAAAAAAATACTTAAACTTTAGTCAAATACATTTCTTTTATTTAGTTCATCAAAGTCAGACAAAATAATACCAAAAGCAAACTAGAGATGTGCTTAATAGTTTGGAATTAGAATTAAGTATACAACGTTAATAGAATTAAAGTAAATGAAGTTTAATTAAAATGATACTATAAAGCTGCCGTAAATACATTAAGAATTATTTGATGTTTTTTATCCCTACAATATAAATAAAAAGAGTTTTTGCAGTTAGTATCGTATTTAATTTTAGTGCTAGTGCAGCGATGTTTAAAGACTATCAAGCCACACATTCACAAAGAACAAAATACTTTGAAACAATGACCCCTCCTTTTGAAACCCAACATTGCCTCTGCTTTCTCAGTAACATCAAACATGTATGGACCTGAGGTGAGGTTATACTATAAATAACCTGGTAATGTAGTTTATTTTAGCACTGTACCTTTGTGGAAATATGTACTTGACTCTGGGGTGGCGCATTTAACATCAGCTGTCTTATTTGAAACGAAAGGCTGTCAAAGAAAAATCAACATCCGTGACACCAATTGTCCTCTATGAGGAGGTGAAGCGGGATAGTGAATTTAAAGTCCAGCTGCCAGCAAGGCACACACACACACACACACACACACACACACACACACACACACACACACACACACACACACACACACACACACACACAGGAGTGATGCTTTCAGTCCATTTACATTCTGTTAGTGCTTTAGTGTCGAAGAGGAACATCTCTGCGTCTATTTCTGGCTCTAGGTCAGGAATACCACAGATGTTAGTCTGTAGTTTGAATCCTGATAGTATGCCGCTTGATCCATGACAGGATGTTCCTGGAAAGATGGATTGCCATAAAGCTGCAGACTGTCTGACTGAACTTAAACCGCTCTGGAAATATGAGAGTATCTAAACAGCAGCAGGGGAAACATGTAGAGAATAACTGAGAGGAGTAATAACTAAGATGTTTGAGATTGTTTTGATTAAACAACAGTTTTCTTCAGCTTTCTGTTGTACAATATTACACACCAAGTTGTGTAATCATGTGTGTATCTGCAAGAATTGCAGTTTTACTGTAAAATTCTTAGGTTGACAAGTGAGTGTTGAATCACAACTCCATCTGCTGGTGGCCAGGATTATTTCTAAATCAACATTTTCCACATGCAGATTTCATTCATTCATTCATTCATTCATTCATTCATTCATTCATTCATTCATTCATTCATTCATTTTCCTTCAGCTTAGTTCCTTTATTTATCAGGGATTGCTACAGCGGAATAAACTGCCAACTTATCCAGCATATGTTTTACGCAGCGGGTGACCTTCCAGCCGCAGCCCATCACTGGGAAACACCTAAACACTCTCATTCACACACATACACTACAGACAATTTAGCTTACCCAATTTACCTATATAGCATGTCTTTGGACTTGTGTGGGAAACTGGAGCACCCAGAGGAAACCCACACGAACACTTGGAGCCACACAAATTTGTGTTGCCATATTTGCTACATAGTGTAAGGCAAAACTGAATTTATTTAAATATTAATATATTTTGTCTGTCACTGCTCGCTGTTTTAATAGGATTTTCACAGCATTTAATGTTGGTGTCAAATGTTGAAAAATTGCCCACTTCAGAAACAAATCACTTACATCATTTATTTATTCATGTGAAAAAGGAAATCAATAAATGCCATTTTACTCTACATGGAAATGGTGGACAGAAATGAATAAAACATCAGTAATAAATATCATTCTGAGTAGGCTATTGCTAATGGGAAATCTAAAACACTTCTATATGGAGATTTCTTTCTTTCTTTCTGTTTTGCAACATATTCACAATGCAGAACTGTGTTGTTAACTATTTTTTAGGTTTGTTATATACAATTTTTTTATGATTACTTTCTCTACTGTCAAAATAATGATTCAAAGATTCCTTGGATTTACTTTTTTTTAAGTTAAGTGGTTGTAAACAATTTATTTGGGCTGAATTTAAACAAGCAAATAAAGTTAAACATTAATAAAGTGTATGTTTAAATTCAACACATAAATTGTTTTAAAAAAATTTTGCCGACAACATTTTTTTCAGTGATGTGGAATCACGTGACCCTGCTCTCTGTTAAACATTTTTTAAAGGCTGGTTAATACTTCTGCAGCCACTTTGCCGCCACATCTGATCTCTGGTCAAGTAGGACCTTGGACCAATACCTGAGTCTTACTTTGCAGTACATTGATGCTGATTTGAAGCTGCGCCTTGAATATTTTTTCCAGGATATACAAGAGTTATTTTATTTAGAAAAGATTCTGCTTCTTTTCTACTTTTAATATGAACAATTATTTATTTTGTTTCCAAAAGTGAAGTGCAAGTTATTTATTTTCACTTTTTGTATAAAAAAAATGTGATTATTCGTTTTAGGTAGCGTGTGTCTTAATTTCAGTTGTTCAACGTTGATGTTCAATGAATAATCATAGATAGATGTGTTTCCTTCAATTATTTTAAAGTCAAGTAATGCACCCTTCATTCAGAAATCTCTTGTAGTATTTGGGCATATTTACTGTACAAAACTTGTCCGTGAACTATGAGGGCAGATACATAAAATAAATAAATAAAATAATCATTCATTAATTGTAATCGAGTTAAAATGTTCAATTAATCGAGATTTTGATTTTAGGCCAAATCGCTCAGCCCTAGTGTATATTTTTAGTAACCTATTCACAATGCCGTGTTGTTAAATCTTTAACAATTTTCAACTTAACACAAACCAGATACACCGTAAGTGATGTGTACCACCAGCTGTTCTATGTAATGAGAAGACAGGTGCAAGATATTGTCTTTAACTAAAACTGTATTTTTGTTCTTTCAGAGTTGACAAGACATTTTCCAGAGCCAGGAGTTTGTGGTAAGCACTGTCTTTTTCATTTAACTTAGCCACAGCCTGAAAGAGCTGTTCCAGAAACCACAAGCTTTTATGCTGTTTTGCTCAAGGGTATCAACCTGGACACAGCTACAGAGGAAAGACAATTTTCTGTCTGCTGTAAGTGACTTAGAAGGAAACCATTCAAAGGCACTTTAGTGTTGCAGCTGCGTTTTCCTTCGTAGCACATATCTAGCTCATTGGCAATTTTATGCTGCTGATTTAAATAACTCTTCTGTTCACTGCTGCAGGGTTGCAGCATTCAGAGTTAAATTACGATGAACTTTAAATTGGTCTGATTACTGAGTTTGAACCAGTATTATATAGTATTGATATACAAAATAAATGAATAAATTTATAAAAATCATTAAAATAACTTTTATTTGCAACATGTAAATATACTTTTAAAATACGCTGTCGTCTCACAGCAAGACGGTTTGGTTTTCCCCACAGTCCAAACACAAGCGCTGTAGGTGAATTGAGTAAGCTAAATTGTCCGTAGTGTATGTGTGTGAATGAGAGAGTATGGGTGTTTCCCAGTGATGGGTTGCAACTGGAAGGACTTTCACTGTGTAAAACATATGCTGGATAAATTGGCTGTTCATTCTGCTTAGGCAACCCCTGGTTACAGTTTTTCTCAGTGGCTTTGGTGCATTTCTCACAACACTATCTACATTTGCACAACAGTTAATGTATTTCTTAAAACAATTACAAACTGCAAAACATAGTTGATAACTTGCAAAAGCATGGCACATGCTTAAAATGGATAGCTCATTCCTCAAAAGCAAGTATTCATGTAAATCAAAGTGTCAGTGTCATCAAGATGAAAACTCCTGATACCATTGTTTATGAACAAGATAGTCAAATGGCTTTGTCATGTTTTCATTATGACAGTTTACTTCAGTCAGATTTTGGTGACACTTCCTGAAAATGCTGAAGACAGCACTACACACTATTTACACATCCATTTGAAAACTACAGTAAAGTTATATATTACTGTATTTAGTGAGGTATCTGAGTACAAGACACTGAATATATATGTTTCACATGTTTACTGCATTTGCTCTTTGCAATTCTAATTTATTCACAGCATTGTGCAAACTAATACATACACCCTTATTTAAAACAAACAGAAACTTCCTTTGGGTAGAGCTGTGCACAACTGTAAACAATATTGCAGTACATATTGGAACTGAACCTACAGCATACACAGATCTTTAAATCATTTATGAAATTGTTTAATTTAGAAGACATTTTCAAAAAAAAAAAAAGAATAAAATTAGCTTGACATTTTGACAACTAGTTCAACATTTTTGGATGTACTGTAATGACTCAAGTTATAAAATGAGGACTATTAGTTTTATATGGAATGACAATTCAGCAAGTTAAGTTAATTTTGCCTGTCATGACATAAGCAAATGATAATGTTATAAAACAACACAGTTTTATGAAAGCAATTGATGCATGTCCAAAGCATTTGCAATGTGTTGGAAGGAATGAGAAACTGCCACTATGATGTGCACAAATGGCTGTTTTGAGAAATACATTAACTGTTGTGCAAATTTAAATAGTGTTGTGAGAAATGCACCAAAGCAACTGAGAAAAACTGTATTTAAGGGACTAAGCCAAAAAGAAAATTAATGAATGAATGAGTGAGTGAGTTTCTAAATTAAAATATAAAGATTTCAGCACAGAAAGATTAATAGACTGACTTGTAGATGGATAAACAGACATTTTTAAATGTAGATGAATCGATAGATCAACTATATGGTTGATAGGCAAAATTATTAAAATTATTAAAAATAGCTCTCCTGTTCATTTTGATTAATGTATTCCCAATAGATGTTTAACACAGCAAGGATAAGATCCTATCGATTAATTTCCTTTTTTTATCCTTGAGAACTTTTATTTCCTTAGCCTTATTAGAATAAAAGCTTTGGAATGTGGAAATATACAAATAATTATATATTTTGGGCGATGCAGTAGCGCAGTAGGTAGTGCTGTCGCCTCACAGCAAGAAGGTTCTGTGTGGAGTGTGGAATCTCTCCATTAAACAGCACAGCAAAACATTGCAGGAGCAATAATAATATAGTTTAGTATATAGTAAAATAATACAATATATAGTAATAAATAATATAGTATAACTTTATTTTATGGATTACCAGAGTCATGGGAAGACAGCAGGGAGATGTAGAATATGAGATAAAGTGATGGATAGACAACTTGATAGACTGACATAGACAGACACAGACAGACTGATAGAGTTGGTTTGTTTGACTCTGTTGTTGCACGGAGTGTCACAAAGCAGTCTGGAGTTTGGACAGACAGATGAAATGTTTTGGATCTGGTCAGTGGTTTTGGGATGAGAGCAGTCCGGATCACAGAGGACACGCCGCAGACCTGCTGCCTTGTTGCCACAGCGACAGCAGACAGCTCTGCAGTGCTGGCAGGACAGAGAGGGTGAGGTGCACATGCGACACTCTCACGCCCCGGTCTGTGAGGCTGAGTCTGTGTGTGTGTGTTGTAAAGGCCTGCTCGGGATGCCAGGCACAGATGGACAGCAGCCTGAAGGTCAGTCCTAACCAACCCACAGGATAATCCAGATTCCCTGCTCCGACGGCATCCGTCCCTCAATGTGTAACCTCAGGACCTGCCTCCATCAGTCTATGCCTCTTCAGCAAACTGCCTGCTGAAACAGAGACCTACTACGTCCATCCTTCTTCACCGCAAGGCACAGAGCAATCAAGGAGAGATTTTCAGATTCATGGAACAGTGTTTTGATGGCAATTGAAGAATTTAACATCACGCTTTGGCCACATTTTTATGATGGTACTCGGACAGTCACTGCATTGCTGGAGTTACAGTTTGTGTATGTTTTTCTGACTTTGATTCAAAACATGTTGTCTTTCAACATCTGGACTCATAAGTCTAGAAAAATTGTGAGGATATGGTGATAATTATTCAAAAAGATATGCAAGATAGGAGTGTATAATTTTTATTTGGATTCTTTGATTGAGTCTGAGAAAAAGAAGATACTTCAGGATTGAAGACTCATTAGCTTGTCAGAGAAAAACAGGACCTACACTGTGATCCAGAATTAGGCCGTGTCTGTAGGCCTTTGCCAAGTGGCTGTCTGAAGCCTTCTGTAAGGAAGACGGATCTCAATTAGTCTGGCAGATCCACAATGCCTTGCTCTCCCTTTCGAATCAGGAGGCCGAAGAAGTTCTGGTGAGTTTGAATTCGCGATGGTCTTTCAATAGCTGATCTGAATATGAAAAGAATGTAAATTTTGCGGTAGCGGTGCTGCGAGTGTTTGTTTAGTGGTCATTACGTGTGGATTGTGCTCTTGGACATGGCATACATTAGCATGAAAGGATTTAGATTGGTTTGCTTTAATGAAGGCACCTTGCTTAGCGTCGCAAGGTAATCTGTGAGCAATCCAGCAGAAAGGCTTCAATATTCTACAATGATGCTGCATTAGAGGAATGGTGCTGCCTGCTGAGTGTGAATCAAGACACTTTTATCTGTTGATAAGGCATCTTTATCTCTCTGTCTCTTTTACTCGTGCTTTCGCCTATCTCTCTCACATTCTCACATTTCTCTCTCTTTGGATCATAAGAGCAATCTAGGTCACTGTCATTACGTGCAGCATTAGCTTAAAGATGGAATCAAATTGTCTGGCTGGCATCGTTTTCATTGATGTATTTTCTAAGTCTGGACCGGGTGGACATATTAAAGAAATTCTCTTTTCTTCAAAGCCAGATATCTTAATTTGTTCACAGTCTTGATAATTGCTACTGTAGGTGCTACGCATGTGGTATTGTGTCAGGGGCATTTGTACTAAAAAGAGGATCTGATTGGATGAATAGCTGAATAGTGCAGGATGAGTCATCAATGTTTTATATTCCCAGAAGAGACCATGTACATTTTAGATGTGCATTTTTTGTGGTTTCCTCTGACTAGCAATCAGTGTTACAACTGAAACAACTGAAAATCAGTCCAGTTGAAACTTATTTTAACTGAAGTAAAGCTAAAATACAATATACCCATTAGATTAGATTTGCACTATTGACCTTATTCTCCACAGACGAGCGGGCGCTGCCATTTGAATATTTTTAGCACGAGACTTCCGGTCTCATTCACTTCCATTCATTTTTAGACATTAAAAAACTGCTCGTTTCGCTGTTTGATGTTGTAAACTGATAATTCCTTGTTATATTTTTCTACTTGGTCTGTATAGTCATGCAAACATTTGTTTGTAGAGCAAGTAGTTTGACCGTTTTTTGCCGTTTATTATTCCTTGTCATTTCTCCCATCGGCGACTGAAACGGAAGTTCTAAGACAATCGCGAAAACAGGCGCACTTCCGCATTTTAGAATAAGGTCAATATGAAGGAAACAAAACTGTAACATGTAAATACCCATCTAACTTAATCAATTTTAAGCTAAAATGCAAATTATGATAACAAAAACTGAAAAGAATTAAAGCTAGAATTCATTCAGAGTAATAATACATGAAATACAGTAAATAAGGCTAAAGTACACTGTTATTAAACTGTTAATAACACATAACACATAATAAATATCTAAAGAACTTGCATTTTCATTAAAATTGGGAATTGTTTACTCAAAAACCAAAATTGTCACGTACTTACCCTGATCTGCACAACTTCACTGAGAATTTGATCCATTGAAATTTTCGTCCAGTTGTTTTTGACACCTTGAGCCCTATCATACACCCGGCACAATAAGGAGCAAGACTTGTTTGGCTTGATTTGTTGCTACTTTCAGACCAGTGGGACCCTAATTTTAATGTTTTGTGCCACCCTGTTTAAATAGCAAATCCATTTGCGACACTTTGTGGACTCATGGGTATTCCGTTCCAAAAAGGAGGTGTGTTAAGGCGCATTCTTGGCACGTTGCTGAAATAACTGAAATAAACCGTGACATTGACAAGTAAAAGCTGGTCTAAAGTGCAGCGCAGAG